TATTGTTGTTTTGTTTGTTCTTTGGCGACCGGCGCGAGCTCGTTCTCTCGTCTCGGCATTCTCGCTACGCTCGACCAAGTGTTCGCTCGCCTTGTGTTTTTCGTCGTTAGGAAACGCGGAGTGTTTCGTTCTCTATACCCCACGCATATTAATTGTTACCGGGCTGCCTTTGTGCACCTTTAGTTTGTATGATATTTATGTTGTTGTTTTAAATAAAGTATTTTGAAACGACGTCGTTCGTTAGTTAGYTAAACACCCTTTTGCCAGCCTTATGGGCTTCAGCCAAGTCATACTTTCGGGGAAAATTCTAAGTGATATGTTATATATGATATACCAGTATACTACAATCTACATTCACTAGATCCCAACCTTTGGTAGGTAATGACTAATAGGTATATTAATGTTAGATATTTTGAAACATACAAATCACGTTTGTTATACATAGTGTTTGGTATATGCTGTAACCGTGCGTCAATCTACTTTAGTTATTAGACGGATATCACCGCCATTCTATATTTATCTGGACAGTGGATACACAAGATTTCAATGATCCTTTTAGAACTGAAGTGGGATCTCCATTAAATTTATAGTGTTTTGTATAATACCTGGTACTTTTCACGCAGTCTTTACTCTTTCGACTGCTGAAAAACATGGTCATAACCATTATCTCTTATTTAAAGTTATCTCCAAGCTGTTCAATTCTTAATCAAACTTAAAAATCATCAATTATTAATATCAATGTTAAAGCCTAATTGGATAAATAAAAAAAAGCAAAGTACATAAGAATAAAATCAATTGTTCAAGTTATTGTAAGATAATTTATAAAAAATATATTATTAAAAATGTTTTAAATATAATAATATACTATAATCTGTGAACTAAAAATGGGTCATTAACAATAATTATCTTAACTAAATTAAACTATGTAACAAAATAAAAACATTTCATACATTTTTTTTTTAATAAAATTTTCTCAACACTACATATCATTTTAAAAGTAATGATAATAACTGAATTTAAAGTATAAATCATCACATTTAATAACATTTGATCCCAATAACATAAAAATGAACACTAAAAGTGTATTTAATTGATTTTATTCAACATCTCTGTAAGAATTTTCTCAAGTTTACGAGAATCAGCTGCAAAATTCCTTATACCTTCAGACAACTTATCATTGGCCATTTTGTCTTCATTCATTTCCCAGCGGAATTTGGCTTCATCAATTTCAATTCTTTTCAAATCTGATGCTTTACCTAAAGTCAAATAATTCATTATTCACAGCTTGTTTTAAATTTAATATTTAAATGAATATTTACCATTCTTCACCGTTAAATACTCTGTGAGTGGCTCATCAGACAATTCTAATTCCTCAAGTAGCTTAGGACTAATTGTTAATAAATCACATCCAGCCAATGCTTTRATTTCACCTAGTTTAAACATTTTACTAATAATATAAATTAATTTAATACACATAATGTAACAATATTACCAATGTTACGGAATGATGCACCCATTACAACGGTTTTGTAGTTGAATTTTTTGAAATAATTGTAAATATTGGTTACTGATTGAACACCTGGATCTTTTAAAGGTTCAAAACTTTTCTTGTCAGTGTTTGCAACATGCCTATATATTAAATGGTTATTTTAATATTTTTCAATAGTATTTAAAGTTATGTAAGAAGCAGTAAGTTCAGCAGCTACCAGCATTTTACTCATATAATATTAATATAATAATAATTGTAATTCCAAGAAACCTTTTCTACATAACACAAAATATACGTTCATACAAATAAAATTGAACAGCAAATTAAATATATATTTTTAACTTAAAAGTAAGTAAGCACAATATACTTTAAAAAATTCATCACAGTCCAATCTATGATCACTCCAAATKATCAACATACAAACAGCATTAAATTTTACTGAAAGGAGTACAAAAAATAATAACCATATAATGTAAGATTATGTTGTGAGAGGGAGGAGTTTTGGAATAATATGTGAGCATTTTAATTAATATTGGTTAC